AAATGTGGCAAATAAGCAACAAGATATTCAGAATTGTAAATGGTTGACCTAATAAACGCGACCACACAGCTTATTTTTCGCAGGTTTCCCAGACAGACAAAGTCCCACCACAAGGGTTCCTTTTCACGATGTTGGTACGGAACTCTAAAAAATGAGTATAGGCAGCATGGAATCTCAATGAGAATGGCAAGGCAGCTCTATTGTTACAGTTCCACGGTGTTTAGACAGCGGGATTGTCAACACGTCTCCGTCGTTTCACAAACAAACGCTGAAACATTATGTGAGTTCAGGGAAAACACTATGGTTGTTACAGAACGGTAATTTTCGTCACTTTCATACGCAAAGAATTCAAATTCGAAAAAACCAAATTCGATAAACCTGAATAGGTAGTATTTTTTATGTGACTTTGAATATCAAACAAGGTAACGGAAGAATATATGGGAGAACTGGAGAAGAAATGGGGTCAAATAGCTCTATTGCAAGCACTATACTAGCAACATACGAAGCAACTAAGGAAGCTCATGGTGGAGATATGGGCAGCAGTGTCCCTCTTAAAACATCACCAAATGCCAAACTGCGGTTGCCAACCCGCCTCCCAAACATGGCAACTACTGAAAAAGTCCACTTATGGGGGAGGCTATGTTCAGCAGTGGACAGTTAATGGCTGATACAACAAGTAATATACACTATCTGATAGGATCTCCACGCAGTTCCTCCTGGAAACTATCGTGATTAATTCTTATGGAATCCATTGCGATGAGCTAACTGGCCAGCTTTCATCCTGACCTATCATCTGTCACAGGTTCCCTGCCAGCGTATACCGATACAGCAGGCGGAGTTACTATTCCATTTTCACCCATCGAAATAAGTAGTAACCCTCGCTTAAAGATATGGACAGCACCATGGACAATACAGAGTACACAGTGACGCCCACAATTTCGAAATTTTTTGCATTTGGACTCGAGTCAAAAGGTTGAAAGGATGCCGCTGCGACTTCAACCTGTATATCCACCACTATAACAACCCATTATTGTCCATTGGGGGTTTAAATCCCTCCATTAAGAGGAAGACATTTTTTTTTAATGGGTGAAAATGGAATGGCCCCCGCGCTATCGGTATACACCGGCGGGGCACCAGTGAAGGATGATAGATGAGGATGAAGCAAGTCAGTTAACCCATCGTGACGAATTCAATAAGAATTGTTCACGATGGTTTTCACGGGGAACCACGTGGAGGTCGACCTAATAGAGCATATTTCTAACAATAGAGGATGTCAATCTCCATTCCTAACAATCCCTTTCCTCCCAAGAGGAAGACATCAGCGTGCTACTATTACGCTGGGCAGGCAGTTCAGTACAGGGATTTATTTCGAGATATCCTCTCTTGTATTATTGTATTGAGGTTAGTTCGAATAGTCGTCTCTTACGATCATGCCATGATATTTTTAGTTCGTGAACAGGAAACTTAAGGGATGGGAATTACCAAGATTGTTTGGGTAAAGTATGATTCTTTTTTTTTTTAAATTAAAATATATTTATTGGAACCATAAAAATGTTTTCTCGACGTTTCGACCAGGTTACTGAAAAGCTCAAAGTTAATAAACCATCTTCAATCACAAAAAAAAGCGGTATGAGATTAGCACGATAAACCCTGAAAAACAATTATTAAAATTGCTTACCGAGGGTATCGCATAAAATTCTTTTATTAATAAATAACATTATAGATGCGAGAGTTTATAACGATGTTTGTTACTCTTTATCGCAAAAACTATTAAACGGCTTTGAAGGAAATTTGGTACGCGGGTAGGTTATAACCTAACTTGGCACTTAGGTACTTTTCATACTGTCGCACGCGGACGGAGCTACGGGATAGAGCTAGTTCACAAATAATTAGAAAAAAAGACAAAAACCTTTAAAAATACCATAACAGTGAAAACACCATATATTTTATAGATTAGTGTGTTTGAGATTCAGGGACATAGATATTGAAAGGTACAGAACCGCGCGTACTTCCTTTTATATATAAATATTTTAATACATAACTAACATAATACAAAAGGAAGGCCTTTTGTACATGATAGATAATTACTATGTCGTAATAGTTATACACTAGACAATAAACGCATCACAAATGACAGAACATTAAATGAATTATCCATTGTAGAATTTGTAGGCAGAATGATACTTCGAAGCTGACATTGTTTCAATGTATGAAAATGGAATGGTACGTAACTCCACCTGTACTATTTTTTGTGGATTAAAACGGAATAGTGGTCCCGCCGAATGTTAATGATATACGATATCAGGGTTTCAATGAAAGATAAAACGATGAAATAAGTCAGATTGCCTACCATGAATGTTTTCCGAAATTTCGGGGCCGAACGAAACACAAATTTTATGTTAAAGTACATGATATGTAGCGTTTAAAAATATTAAAAATGTTAAAAATATCGTTTCTCTAAACTTTTATGGTAGGATTTATAACGAAATAAATGTTAAACTTGTTTTACTAAGCCGATTTCAGTATGAACAAAAACACGAAATTGTATCCGAAAATTCGGAATTTCTTTTCATGGTAGACCCCCAGATCAATTGGTCTATCATAACAAAATCAAATAAAATTAAGCACGATGAACTACCTTCGGTATTGATTACACTCAAGACACACGCAGCTCAAAATTATGTCGAAAACGAAGCTAATTTTATCCATAACTCTTATACCCATTTTATAATTAAATAGATTCTGCCCCTCAAGAAAAAATAGACAACGGCTTTTTCGTAACAAAATAAAAACGAGAGTAAATTGTTAAAAGTGTATCATGCACACAAAGAAAACAACAAAAATTATTACTTCCTCCCTTTTGTTTAAAAAAGGTTAATCAACTATGGGAAGGATTCAAATAACTTGTGATAAGCAAATAAATCCATAAATCGATATTTCTATAATGCAGAAGTGAGGGGAAAAAGCAGAAACGAAATATTAAAAAATTAAGGGCCCTAGAATAAATAGTAGGAATCAGTATCTCCTACAAAAAAAAAAAAAGCGTAAGTAAAAATCTATTCACTTCATAAAACCTTACTTACACTTATTTTACTTAATAACTATGACATAAAGGAGGACAAAATTTGAATTTCAATAGATTCTAATAATACTTTGCATATTTTAAAAACAAAACCTTGGTGATAGGTGTTAAAATACTATCAACTACACAAAAAAAATTTTCATAATTACTCATTACTCTATGGTAATCCTAAGCTACACTATAATATATATATATATATATATATAACAAATTGAGATTTAAATTAATAAAATGTTTAATTATATTTTTTAAGAGATTTGTGTGAAATATCAAATATATAATTCTAACTATGTATCACTGTTTTGCTCTTGTGAATCCCTATAAGAATCTTATATTAAATATGAATAGAATGTAATCTATCCTTATACCAAATTAATATAAAATCTGTGAATTCGTATGATGACTGAGTAACAAATGTCCAAATATCTTTACAAGTTTTACAATATATATATATATATATATATATATATATATATATATATATATATATATATATATATATATATATACATATCTGTCAAATTTTAACACTTAAAATTTTAATAAAATAGTATGATAATTTTAATTGCATAGACAATTGATTGCATTTTTTTACAAATATGTAAGCAAAACCATAATAATATTGTGTTTAGGATAAGTGACACAAGGACCAACTAATATTATATGTAAATTGTAAAATGTCTGGACATTTGTTAATCAAATACACTCAATTGATTGAACTTATTTCAGTGAAATTTAGTACACAAATGGGCCATATTGTGGGTTATTATAATGTATAAAGTAAGCTACATTTTATCTCAAATCATGGAGACAAAGCTACTGATTACAACCAGTAAAAAAATAAAGTTAAATAGATAAATTAATGTTGAAAATAATATGGGAGCTAAATTATACTAGTAAGTTTTCTTTACAAAATGATGATGATGATGATAATGAAACTTCACTTATATAAAAAATCAATTACTTTAAAAATTTTTTTTTAAAGAACAAGCAAAGATATATTTTTATACATGTGACATTACTTTGCAGAGAAAAAATAAATAAAATATTATACATATGCATTAAAAAATATATCATTGATGAAAATTATATCATTTTTAAAATAATTAAGTAATATATTTTCACAATGTTAAATCTTATGGGGTAGTCCAAAAGAGACTTTTTAACTGTTAACCATAGTGTAGAATGTTATCCAACATTTTTTTTTAACAATATTTTTATCACAGGATTATATTAATAAAAATGTTTTAACCACACTTATCCAAACATGATAATCCTAAGATAGAAAATTAAATCAAACATAGTATGTTTGCACTTGAGTTTACTATTTAATCATAACACAAGATATTATTATCTAACATTGAGAGATAACTAAAATAAACCAATGTATTAAAGAAAACTGAGTTATCTATTAAAATTAACACTTAGGAAATTCTTTATTTAATATCATTTTAAACTTTAGAGTATTTATTATATTGAGGACATTTCCTAAAAAATAAAATATTATAAAATCTAAAAATACTAGAGAAATAAAAGTAATAAAATTTTTAATTTATTTTTATTATTATTAAAACTTAAATTATTTTTTGTGATATTTTTTATAACTTTATATATATAATATTTTTTATGACAGACATAAATTGAAAATCATTTCAGGTCCATAATTTGCAGAGACAATTTAAGTGGTAAAAGTATCTATCATATATTTTTATCACTGAATCAATATTATTCATTTTGGTTTGTTACTTACATGTGGCTATACTTTTTATTGAATAATTAAATCTCAAATAAAATATTAATTAAATTAAAATACCTACACTGCCAATAAAATCTTATAAATTCTAATTATTAAATTAGTACCTTCAATAATGTAAGATAAGAGTATATATATAAGTTTTATTATAATAAAACATTTTACCTGGTGGACTATCAGTCAAGATTGTGATGCCGGTGGGGTCGACATGAGGTGGGAACGCCTCATATAGATCAGGCTCTTCTTCAAGCACTGCCGACAACATTGCAGAGGGCATTCCGACTCAACACACACACTGACTAGACACACACTACACTGCACTGGACGAATAGTGTCCCAAGCTCACACCGAGCTCACACCGGTGAGCCACGCCGAGCCATTTCTCACATTCATGTCCAAAAATCCACACCTAAGTCAAATCTTGTTGCACCATCTTTAAATCTGTAATAGAAATAAAAATCACTGTCAACTGATCCAATTACTCCATCACTCTGATAAGATTTATCTCACACAGTGCAATCAGAGTGTGTGATAACCCAGCCTTTACTCGGTCACAACTAATCTCAGTTACCTAATTGAATATAATTAAAACAGCACGTATCAGCTGATTGTTGCGCTGCCAGGGCACTCTTGACATTTTATAGCTATTTTAAGACTTTGGGCAGCTGATCTGGCGCACTTCAATGTCAGATGCCAAATAAGAAACTGTTAAGTTCGCACACGACGTGCGCTCGAAACTTATTGCATGAAAAAATCGTACAAAAGTATGTTCACTCACCGCAATTCTGACGATAAATGATGCGATGCAAGTTCTGCGCCTCCGTATTTGCCGCTTTAGCCTCCCCGCGGCGACTAAACCAAGTGGCCAGTTCCCGGACCAACGTAATCACGTATGGGATAATAGTCACGAACGGGAGCCGACGATTTTGCTTTGTCACTTAAACGAACCACACAGTACATCACACTTAAATCAGTAACTGGTCATACACATGGAAACATTCTAATAACAATTCACTGATATGTGAAATAATTTTGTAAGCGCCTATTTCGTTAATCAAATTACTGAGGTATCCGGTGAAAGTAATTATCTTATTAGAATTAAGTCAATTTATTTTCAATGTGAAAACTATTTATCGCGCCTTCTATTTTCATTTCCTCTTTGAAAATCGCGTCCGTCAAACAAATCGCACGAAATATAATCCGCGATTTGAGAGAACGCGAAACTCGTCGGTCATCGCTTGTACAGTCAGCCGTCGAAGAAGGGCATAGACTAATAGACCGCGTTACGCATCACAGACGTATATTTGAAAAATGAGAATTTTATTGATATTGGACCTCTTGCCCTCACTGAACACTACGATCCACCGACAATTATTTAAGAATAAAATTAAACATTGAGCAAATGACTATACTATAAAATACTATAGACACCCCTTTAAGTACTTTGTTTAAACAAATTTATCGATAGATACGTTTTCGCTTCCATATATGTGAAACAGAACGAAATAACAACAACATGCGTTATCTTGTTCTTTTCTATCCGCGTAGTAACGGAAATACAGATATCGGCTGATAGATACTTCACTAAAGGTTTGTATGTAAAAAACATGCGCAACTTAGATATAAAAACTAAATTTCGCATGTTTTTTAATGAAATGTAATCCATGATACTGGGTAGAAAATCAAAGCATATTTAAAACAATTTAAATATTTTTGTGAGTTTTTCCAAAAATCTCTTTATAACAGATTTAGATAAATTTGAGATAAGTCACCAAATGGATCTCCTTAATTTCGCTCTAAAATCAAAATTCTAATTTCGCAAAAAAAAATTATTTATAAACTATCGTAAATTGAGCTTCACAATAGTTTTGACTTAAGTTTATTACGTATTCAGTTTATATTGCTCATCAGAATAAAGATTTCACTGTGAAATCAAATGATTATTATAGTGCCATAGATAATATTAGTGGTGTAGTAAATTAATTCGGTTACTAACTCGAATACCATCTAAGTAGCACTCAATATATAGAATTCAAATATACTTTACTCGATTATAGGTGTTGAATACTTGTTGTATTCAAGTATTAGTTACATGTTTATCAAAGTGTTTGCTCTATTTTATGGTTTCCTCTCATTTTACTTTATCACATACAAAGTTATTAATTAATTGAACATTTATATATTACCAGTAATCCGCCCCGGCTTCGCACGAGTTACATTTATTTAGATCTGTTTCATAGGGTTCAGATAGTGCTGAATATAAGCGCAAAAATGTGTTTATTTACGACATCACATTAGAAACTTTTAAAATTATCAGTGTTTCCTACACTACTATAATATGTATGTATGTATATATATATATATATATATATATATATATATATATATATATATATATATATATATATATATATATATATATATATATATATATATATATATATATATATATATATATATATATATATATATATATATATATATATATATATATATATATATAAACCTTCCTCTTGGTTATCTATTTAAAACAACAGGATAGACAGCGGGAAGCGACTTTATTTTATATAATGTACAATGTACTGACATTGATTATTAAAAGTAAATTTCAGAAATTATTAAGATGAATCAATTGTAACAATATTCATATACGCATACACATAGGTGAAAGTTCCGCTTCTAAATCGGGGGTGAACACCAAAAAATTCTAGGTCACAAACTAAATACATAGAGATGCCTAAGAAACGCATCTCAGTGGTTTATATCTAAGTATTTATCTTGATATTTGTACACTACTCGAGTTAGGTTGGTACATCACTAGTCGACAGCTGTCAAATCTGTATTGTTTTGCAATTTTTCATTATATTTTTCAGACTTGTTTCATATTCGTACAGTACATATTGTAAGAAATATAAAGTAAAAATAAATACATATGGTTTTTAAAAGATGTCATCCACACAGACTGATTGTCTGAATGGTTAGTTGTAAAAAATTTGTAATATCTTATATTTATCGCAAATTTTTTTGTCCTATCATAAAATATGTTTTCATTAAATTTTCAGATACCGTGGCAGTGTTAATAGATGCTATAGGTGATAACGAAAATTCTGTTAACAATGTAGTCATCAAATCTTTGACAAAAATAGCGAATTCGTATCCCAATGAATTTATTGAGATATTTTGTGAATTCTATAAGAATGCGGTAAAAGTAAACACCACGCAGTTGGGAAATATCATAAAGTAAGTACAATAAATATTTAGTTTCACCAATTAAAAAGTCAGGCTTAACTATCTGTTAATATACGTACATACATACATATCTGTCACGTCTGTCTGTAAACAATTTCAATAAAGTTAAATTTTTTGTTAATTTTTTATAAAATATAATTGCAATTGATATATCCACCCACTACCTGCTGATCTAAATTATGTCAATAACTTATATTAAATCTATTTTCACCTGCAAAAAAATGTCCTATGTCCTTTTCTATACCTAATATTTTATGTATAGCAAATTTTAATTCTATAATTGGTTGAATCATCAATCATCTAAGAGTAATAAATAAACAAACTCATTTTCATAATTATAAAATTATGGGCTTCAAAATCTTTAAAAAAAGAAAACAGCATCATGTAAAATCCTCCAGGACAGGAATAAGTATCATTTTTTGCAATAGAACCAATAAAAACAAACAAATTAATAAATGATACATAAATTTATAGCTATAAAATTAATTTATTATTTACTATCTCTTTAAAAAATTTAAGACAATAAAGTAAATAATGAGTAATTTGTTTTAATCTCAAATAAGTTGTATCTTATATTAAATAAGAAAAGACTTATTATTTTTTTTTTTTTATTTTATTTCTTACTAGCGATAAACAGATCTAAATGATACTAAAACATGTGTATAGTTTTAGAGATTTGCTCATTAATTATATATGGTATATAAAAGATTTATTTATTGATATGAAATCCCATCCGAAGCATCTTTAAGCATCATAATTTAACTGTGTGAGCATGATTTCTCCTGAAAACTGTTCATGGTTCGTTTTTAATAAAATTCTCACAAATTGGCCAACTGGTGACTATGAGCATATCACCTATTATAATCAACTGGTGGCCCACTAGTATATACCAATAGCATAGCTGGGATCATATCATCATAACATGATTATTTTATCATTCTATTATCATCATATAAAAAACCATTTGTAACATATAGTTATTAGTATTCTTTTCATGTCTGCTTATATGATATATGTCCATGACATGTTATTTTACTTGCCCACAGTTGGGATATCGTAATATCGAGATTGCATACTTTTATTTTTACATTTTAGAGTCCTTGAACAAACATGTGTAAATCAAGTGAAAAGGCTTGAACCATCAACAGCATCACAACTCGTCAACTCTATGCTCCGTGCCATGACTGAGAGTATTAATTATGAGCCGGTGGTACAAATGGGTGCCTCCTCCGTATTGGTGGCTGTCAGTCATGAAAACCTTGATTTGGTATGTTTATTTTTCCTAATTTTTATTTTTAATTTGAATAAAATTATTCCAATATGCTTGGTGATATATACATATATATGTATGTTGGTGTTTAAAAACATAAAGGTTTAATCGTGATCAAATTTTTCTTTTTTTATTTTTGTCAAGGTTTCAGCTTACCTGTGTGACTATGACAGTTTTGTTTTTGTGTATGTGTGTAAATATTAGTTATTCAGGATAAAAGGTATCCTGAGAAACTAATATAACTGCCACCTACTCACAGTTTACACTTAACATTATTAGGGTCATGTTGGTTCAAGATTTTTTTCTTTATTCTATTTTATTGAACTAGGTGTTATATTGTGAAAGTCCATATTATTACTAGTTATTTGATTAGAATTATTTTGTTTAATTCCGCTACCATTACTATGTGTGTGACTGCTAACACTAAAAGATTAACCACCGCTATTACTACCAGAAGTTCAACAAGCTTCCATATATTAGCAATCAATCTCCGATTTCCATTTTGTTCACGCACATTTTGTAACATGTGTTTCTCTTTTAAATGAGGCATCTTCAGACAAATTATTAGACTGCTGCTGGGAGCCTAGTGTTAACTGTTGGAAACCCAAACTTCCAATGAATTAATAAATAATAATTTATAATTTCTTTATTCTTTATGCAAATAGAAAATCAAATACATAGTTATTATAATTATTAATGTAAATTTCCATTTTATGCCTTGATATGTTGCAATGAATTAAATAGGCAAATGGATTTTTCTTACTAGACTACACCAAACCCAATATTTATTTTTTCTTTTATTTCTTTATTGTAGATGTGTGTGTTGAATTTAATCAATACAACACGTTTTAGTTATCAACTTTTTTTTTTTGTTTAAATATTCATTATAAATATTGAGGTGATCCCATTGCAGTACTAAGTATAACAAACACCTTTATCCACTTAGATTTATCGGTATAGCCATTTATATGCGACTTGTATACAAAAAACAAAGCAAGCACATAACATATACACTGTTATTTAGACTTTGATGACTTTTATTCATTGTGTATAGATAGATAAGGGTTCAACTGTTAAGCATTTATTATTTGTCCTAAAATATGCAACATGTTTTAACACAAATTTATGTATTGTAGATAAAATATACAATATTTATAGTATTTTTTTTTTTTTAGTGAATAACATCTGTTCTGCTAATAGAATATGATATGTGAAGAATAAATGATATGTTTGTATGGTGTATGTAATAAATACTCTTTGTTTATTACAAATATAATCTTATCTATTTCTTTGTGTGACTGTAAGCAAAATTTATATTATAATCTATGTATCTTCATACATTTTTTCAACCCATTATAGGGTGGATAGAGGGAATAATCAATATAAAAGGAAGACTAGTTTATTAGTAAATTAGACTAAGGACCCCATTTCTAGAAATCAGATCAATCTCTATGCAGTTCTTTTAAAAACTATCGTGATTAATTTCCAATGAATTGGTCACAATGATCCAACTAACCTGTTTTCGCCTTTTTTTTTATACTACTTAGAATGGCAAACAAACTGACGGCCCACCTAATGGAAAGTGGTAACCGTCGCCTATAGACATGAGCAGTACCATGGACATAACAGAGTATACTGTTTCACCCATGATACCCCCCATGCGTTGCCATTCCTGAGGATTCAGGTGTTATTCCTCTGTACTCAGTAAATTCACGCCATATTCCACCCTTCAAACCGAAACACAGCCATGCAAACACAACTGCTTCACGGTTGAAACACGAATGGGACAGAGGTACCCATGCAATCGACTTTTGTACAAAGTCTCCCTCTCCCTCTCCCTGGTGCTTCAGAATTGTACACATTAGCAGCATTGGTAGATGCACTACTATTTTATGTTCAAAATTCCATCGATATTCTTTTTTTTTAATGAATAATAATGGAATGGTAATCCCTCTTGTGTTAACGACATATGCTGGCGGGGCAACACTAAGGGATTATAGGTGAAAATGCAAATGCAGGTCAGTTAACCTGTCGTGATGATTACACCTGGAATTCAGCACGACGGTTTCCAAGGGAGATCACATGGAGGTTGACCTGACAGGGTACAGACTGGTAGTCCGCATTATTAGCAATCCTCTCTCCCTAACGATTTTTATATATATAGATACTCCGGTCTCTCATCAACCAGTTGTCTCCCGCGTCAGTGCCCCACTACACCATAGCCCACACGCTGGGCACATTGGCTGCAGTCAATACACACGGGCTTGTGCCGCATGTAAAAGAGATCCTTGGCAAAATGCTACCTCTCCTGTCCTTGATCAAGCAGGATGGTGTAAAGCAGGCCTTTGCTTACGGTAAGCTAAAGCAATTGTTATTTATAATTAGAAGCTTGTTATTTAGTAGTCTTTTCATACTTTGTAAAGTATCTTCTGTATATATACAGAGTAGATTCTTTATGAATTATTTAATGGCTAAATTAATTAACACTGACACATTATATCGTTGCGGAAAGATAATAATATTTTCATATAATTGCATACATTAGCTCTTCTATTATATTGTAACGGTAAAATTTTACATTATCATTTATACTGTAAAAGCGCATCCTGACTTTGTTTACATTAATCATCATCATTTCAGCCAATATTCGTCCACTGCTGGACATAGGCATCCTCCATAGATTACATTAATACTCGAGTATTATTTTTCCTATTATATGCCGTGTGATTACGCATAGAATGGGTCACTCCTTCCTTTCCCGTTGGTGTCGTAAGAGGCGACTAAGAGAGTTTAACAGTCGAGAGGTGAGCAGCAGTGTTCCTCTTAAAATATCACCGAAGCCTAACGCCGATTGCCAAACCGCCTACCAAGCATGACAACTAGCAAATCCAAGTAGCGGTCTATGGTCAATCATTATATATCAGTATAATTATTCTTTCTATTTAGGGTTATTTTCCAGTGGGGCCTGGTCCCTTATAAAAATTCATATTATGTACCTTCAAACAACTTTGCGCATAGTTAAAAGCTTTGCTCGGATCCAGGAGTAGGTACTAGGCAATTCTGTGTTTGGCACGGCCCACTCGACCACCTCTTAAATGTACTAATGCATAGGTGTGGCTAGTCGGATTTCATTTATTAGCCCATGCCTGTCGTATATATTTTCCTGTTATAGAATATTATTTTCCTTTTATACGCATAAATAGATTTATCCTTATAGTCTATGGAATTTACATATCTGGGCACAAGTTGATTAATATTACCAATTTCTTCTTCTGCAGCATTTGGCCATTTTGCAGTCGCCGTATCAGAGCAAATAGGAGACAACGTCGCTAACGACAACATAACATCCATAAAGGATAATTTTGTCACGGAATTCTCTATTATATTTGATGTACTGTACAACCAGTGGCTCCCATCCAACGAACATAAAGTTTCAGAGTCTGTTTTGGAAGCTCTTGGTCCTATTACCAGACTCATACCAGAGAGACAATTTAACGAGACCGTTAACAAATTCGTAATATCATTATTGTCGTTGTATAGAAAACCAACGATAAACTTCTACTGCATCAGTCAATGCATCTCGTATTTGTTGTCACCATCGCCTTTAAATCCAAAGTTAAGTTTGACTGACAGTGTAATCAACTCTATTAATCATATTCTATTCAACCTCGTCCTCTTAGAGCCTGATTTTGACCAGCCACAGACAGTTAAAAATCATTTTGAAGTATTAAGATGTTTCGACCATATGGCTGGTCAATTCCCTGATCAAACAATAGAAAGTCTTTTACACCAATGCAAAAATAATCAAGAAAAAGATAGAATGAAAGCTGTAATAATACTTACTCATTTGACAACTTCCTCCCAGTTGTTCATAGATGTTTACGCGATTAAATTCATAGTTCTATTAAAAGTTATGACTACAATGGAGCAAGGGTTGAAGATGAAGAAGCTGTTAGTCAAAGCAATAGTAGGTTTAATATATAGGAACTGCATTACGACCCCTGAAGATTTTACTATGGTCGAGTTCATAATAAAACATTGCAGTTTCGAAGGTTCAGCTAATGCTTCGAAGCAAGAGCTTACTGATTTACATGACACTTGTAAAGTTCTCTTATACTCATGTGCAATACTGTGACCATTGTGCGAACTCAGTTAAGAAATCTATTACTGACTGCTATTACTGTTGAAGACTTCACGGCTTCGATGTCCACAGTATGTCATTGCCTTACGTCATTGTTACAAAATAACTCTGATATAGTTGTAGATGAAGAAGCTGAAAAGGCAGTTGAGTTGAAATGTACTCCTGATCAAGTATTTGTCAGGTGCATAACACATATTGTAGAACCAGAACAAGTAGAAAAGAATAGGAACTTGCTAATATTCTTAGAAGAATATTCAGGAGACGTGCATAAGAATTTGAAGAATTCTTGGACTGTAGAAATTCATAGATTACTAAAGTTTGTTGATAAAAGTGAAACAAAAGAACAGTGGCATAGCATGTTGTTGGATCTTCTAGTTTCTGCTATAGAACAAGTAAACAATGATAAATGGGCGGAAGTTATATCTACTTTGATATCCCAACAAGTACTGTCTAAGAGACAAACGCCGATGATCAAAGGAGTTTCCTTGCAATATTTGGCTACCCTATCGTGCCACATATCCAATGCAGCGGTCGTTGAAAATGTTTTAAAAATAATTTTACTTGCTCTTAAATCCATACCTATGGAGAGTTCCGAATACGTGAGCAAAGCGATAGGAATAGCTTCGAGACAGCATGGCGAGTTCATTATAAATGAACTAGATGCTATTTATAAAGACAATGAGTCAAAACGTGGTAGTAAGCTGTTGAATTTCTTATCTTCGAGAAATTCTAAAAATGAATTAGAATTAAACACAGTAAAATACACGTTAATCACGTGTTACGGTAAAGTGGCTGAAGAATGCTTAGACGTCCATGTTTTAGCGAGGTTAGGCGAGAACGTTACATCAATCTTGTACGAAATATTAAAATCGGCACCACCATTTAATTTGTGTAAGGCGAGCGTCACTACGTTATATCACATAAGCAAGGCATTACAGCCGGCGGCACATCATAATGTTTCTTTGAGAAACCGTTGGCAATTGTTGAACGCTGTGTTGGAGCAAATATACAATACTAACTTGGAAAGACGCAACGTCGAACTATACCCGATAATAGTGAAGGCGTCCAAAGCGCTCACGAAACTGCAAATAGGTATTTTACCTGAGGAAAGAAACACGATACTTCGAGTATTGTTGAATAGTATCTTTGGAGAGTTATCATCCTTCAAAAAGAAGTATGAAATTGAAGGCAACGGGGATAAAAATGACCTCCTCGCTAAAACTTTAAACGATAGTTTGACACTGCTTCATCAACTAATCAGGGAGCTAATTATTCAGTCGACATGTTTGAGCACCATTGATGATTTAATAAGTTTATTAAGTGAGTGGCTCCGCCACGAGAATGATGAGATTCGGACAGCGTCAGCTCTTATATTACAGGTGATTTTCGAGACTTACATAAAAAATGTCAAACTGAATTACGAAACTCCGAGCAAATTCGGGCAAATGGGTTATTTATTAGGTCTGGTGGTACCGGGGGTCGCTGACAGCAATTTCCCTGTGAGATTGACAACTGTGGACTGTATTAAGCTAATAATTCAAATACAGGACCTTTACGAAGGCCACACAATTGAAGCCAATGACGAATGCATGTCTAGTCTTAATCATCTTCAGAACAATATTCTAACTAATGACTTGAATATGATCAGTGATTACTGCGTTGAATTATGTGATACAATTTCGATGAAAATACCTCATCATCACAATATGCAGTTTATTGAGAGTTTGTTGGAAGGATACGATAACAGGGAGTACAAGAGCGTTGGTATCAGCGCCGTCCTTGATGCATTTTTTATAAAGAAAGGACAGGATTTATTCCAAAGTATAGAGAGAATATTAGAAGTGATCTTGCACACGATGGAAGAAGTGCGGGAAGAGTCCAGGATAAAACTGATGCGGCCACTTACGTCACTAACGCGGTACCATTCGAACGCCGTGACTGCAGTGTTGCTGTCTCAGAAGTTACCTCTGAAAGAGTAAGTATAGTTTCTTGTATATTGTAGTCATTGTTAATGTATGTATATAATGTATAATCTATATCTGTTGGGGTGTGGCTCCGGCATAGAATAGTCTACCTCTTCCTTTACCGTGGGTATTGTAAGAGATGACTAAGGGAACTTAATGGTGGAGGGACGGGGAGCAGCACTCCTGAAATATACACTGAAAATGTGTATAATACATATGTATTTACAAACAAAATAGTATTTATGTATCAGTCGTTCAATCGTCTTGTATCCATAGTACAAGATTTGTTTAGTTTGAATCTAGATGCTGCTTTGTATTTGCTAAGATACTATTTGTTCACGCACAACGACTTGTCACAGATGCGTTGTGCTCTGCTGGCGGTACTTGGCTAAGGACGAGGGTCTGTCCACTGCAATCTTAGACAACTTCCTTCGTTTGATGACCTCCGTAGAGCTGTACGAGGATCCTTATCACATCACCAACAACCACATCGCCGCTCTCCAGCCTCTGACAGTAAGTCTAGAAATTATATAAAATATTATGTTTTTTTACCAAGTGCATGAAGTGGCGGATCAACAAAATATAAATTTGTATTCAGTGTTTTTTATGGTTATAATCTAATTTTAATATAAAAATTTAAAGAGTAATTTTTAAATCTAAAACAAAATAATATTGAAATTAGGTTAACACTTCTGTATACCTTTTTAATGTAAATAGTTTTTTATGGACCAATAGAGAATTCGGATTTTTTTCTCTAGTCAGATTTGTAATATTTCGCTCGATAACGTTTGAGAAAAAAAATAATAATATCATTTAATAGTTCGTGTAATATATAATTTTGATTTTTTTTTCTAAATAGACTATATTTTATGTTGCAAGTAGGTAAAATCGCGGAAAACAGTAATCATTAATATGAGTGTTATATCACTTTCAGCTAATAAGTGCATTAGGAGAGATGCTCCAAGAGGACAGCACAAAATCCATCTGCATAGCTAAGTTCTCCGAACTGTTCTCTGTGTTGTACACGACCCTTGCGTGTTACATAGATGCAGAACCGCCCGCGTACATAGTTCCAGCGAATAAGGGGCAAGAGCGTTTTGGGTTCATACCAAATCGGGACGCTATCAAACTGTCACCGGCCAGGATCACTGTGAATACGTTTTACACATTTCTGGATAGAGCCGGCTGTCACAAGGTGAGATTTTATAAAGTATATTATATTTAGTGTGTGTATATAATGTATAACATGACGTAATATTTTGAAATTCAACGATAGTTCTCTTATTCGTTACATCGAATACATTTCAATAAATAGAGAAGTTTATAGATAACTGGTCACGCTTGATCACGTCTAATATCTCGATGTAATTTTTGCTCTGTACTCTAGCGACTACTAGTGCATACATACACTAAGTATGAAGGACGAATGGAAATTGTGTGCAGTAGTACTTTAATCTGTCTTTATGAAAAAATATTAACAGTTTATAAACGTACAAATTTGCTGTGTGGTCCCGGCATAGAATAGGCCACTCTCTCCATTTCCGTGGGTGTTGCAAAAGGTGACTAAGGGAGGGCAAGGGATGGGCAGCAGCGGCCCTCTTAAAACATTTGTAAAGCCTAATTGCAATTGTCAATCCGCCTGCCAAGCGTGGCAACTACCGGCAAAATTTCCCAATGAGATTTATATTCAGCAGTGCATAATTAAAGGCTAATATGATGATATGATGAAACGTAAAATATCAGTGCCGTGACCAGGATTCACGTTGTATAAATGATCCTGTTTCGGATGGAGCAGGTGAAGGAAGCGTGCTCGCTGTGCCTGAGCATCGAGCACGCGGACGGCTCCGGCTGGCTGGCGGAGCTGGCGCCGCTGCTGGGCGGGGCGCTGGCGCGCGCGTGCGCGGCGCAGCTGGCGCGGCTCGTGGCGCGCCTGGCGCAGTACGCGCGCGCCGCGCTGCCGCCGCAGCGAGCCGCCGCGCACGCCTTGCTTGCCGACTTGCTCAACTATAGGTAATCACATTCATAACTATTAACCCTCTGACCGAGAATCTCGCGTTTTCAGTTGCAGTATCTGCTTTAATTTTACGCATTCCGCGATTTCGACGAGCTCACATTGTTTATGTTTATTGACGTCGTTATTCCGCGATATTTGTTTTGATAGATTGATATTGTTTCTTAGAATCTCGCTAAATGGTTAAAAACTCGTACTGCTATTTGTTGTCAACGCGATGTGTGAAAATTAAGCGGAAAAAAAATACGCGGTCAGAAGGTTAAGTTACCGTGGGGCTTTCTGTCATCTACTTACGTATCAAGTTTTTTTTATAACATTTTACCATCTAGTAAATATGTATTATCGATTGATTTATAAGCAATAGCAACGACCACCAGGAATTCTCATTTCTCCCACTTTTGTTTCAAGTAGCTGTTTGCATTTTTTTTGGTCCGAAGGGTGGGTTATGGCAATAAAATTACTGGGTATAAATGTATAACTTGGTCCTTAGGAGTGGCAATCCATGAGAGATGCCAGACGTTGATTTATATTTATAAACGTCGATTATTTCTCTCTATCATGTGTAGCGAGTTGTCCGCAAAGAAATGCTGTTATTCTTTTATTCTAGAGTTTGGTAATAATGATATATAAATACATAATACGGCAATTCTGTTATTTGAACAGATGCAACGATCAAACGGACCTGATAGAGACAGTGCTGGCTACTCTCAACACGGGCTGGAAGGACGAGGACGCGCGCGTGCGGGCGACGTGCCTGCGCGGCGCGGCGCACGTGGCGCGGCTGGCGCCGGCCGCGCGCCACCACGCGCTGCCCGCCGCGCTCGCCGCTCAGCCAGGGCGTCGACGCCGCCTCCGCACAGTGAGTACGCACGCATTTCGCCATCGGCCTCAGTTTGAACACAGCGAAAATCCGACTCGAAGGACTACTAAAGATATTTAGTCTGCTATGTTCACACCATAGTGAATCCTCACATAGCCATCGGGCGATTTTTTTACACGACGATAATCCCTGACCTTATGATAAATTCTACACCAAAATATAAGTGAATAATTTATTCTTTATGATATGATTTATATGCTGTCCTTGTCCAAATAATATTCTATGTTTGTAATAATTACATTGTTACCTTATTTTCACTAATTACTTACAAACTGTTAACAATAATAATTTTAAACGAAATATAAATGAAAAAAAGTCAATATTCTTACAGTAATTGAGTATATTAATGATTCCAAATAGTTAAGAAAAATACATGATACTTTTCTTAGAACGTTGTCCTAGTGGTCGGGTAAAACCCGGAGATGCTAAGATTCAAGTAAGACGCTATGGACCCCGTGTGGGTAACTTCAAAATAGGCAACTATATTTTTTTTCAAGAAACTCAACATAAATATTAGAATATGTTATTCTTAGTTTTTTCATCCAAATATAATATGCACCAATTTTTGGCAAATTTGAAAAGGCTATTCGTGGGCTAGAGAGCTCCATCTTATACCATACCGTCGCTTTCCATCTGGTGAGATCATGATCAATTGCGGGCCCCTTCTATAGTAAAAAAAACTTGGTGGACCTGACGTGGATGCGGGCATCATCGAAATAGCTTCAAAAATCGATATCAACAACTTGCCTAGGAGTGCCAGATAGCCTAAGACTGATGCTTCCCATCTTGAACTTCCATTGAAAGCACATCGTAAATTCGCAATATCAAATCCTTAATTTTTTACCTCCAGGTCTTCGACAGACAACGTCCCCTTAGCAGCGATTCAAGGACTCAGCCGATTGCTCACCGAGATGGATACATTGGACAAGGAGTTCGAGCGTGAACTTCTCGCCATATCGCAGAAGATACGTCCGTTTATGAACACGGAATGTTCTCAACTGAGAGAGAATTCCATACGGCTGTTTGGGATTATAGCGGGTCGGGTGCAGTCAGAGGCGCTCGTCGAGCAGGCGGTATCGTCGCTGCCTTGCTTCCTGCTGCATCTGTGTGATCATAACCCGGCAGTTGTGAGGGTAAGAAGTACTTCATACAACCTTTATAAGCCATTTCCATACATTTACATATCTTTCAAATCACTTTTCTTGCAGGATAGACAAAGAGCTTAAGACCAGATCATAGACAAGTGGCAAGAGTGAATTTATCTTTAAACACGTTTTCGGTACCACGCGCATGAGAAAGGCTAAGATACCGACAAGCATGTGGTAGCGTAAACATATCTATCGATAGATTCATTTATCAGAGTCTCAGAGTTTTATGTCTCAGAGTGGCAATATTGATTTACATACATGTCTTGATTTATTGTCTTGCTTCTGGAAATTCTTGTCCAACATTTAAAAATCTTTAAACTAGCTTGATAATTTATTTTGTAATTAAATACACACGAATAGTACTGTACACTTTAATGAACCAAATGAAAATATGTTTCATTTTAAGTTTTGTAAATAAAATTCTAATATTACAAGCAAAATGTATTATATTTTTTTGTTTCAGGCAACGAAGTTTACATTAAAACAAGTATTTAAAACATTCAATGTCAAGAAGTCGAATGACTTAGTCCAAACCCACTTATTGGACGAAGGCAGGCTGTATTTGGACGAATTCCTCTCGGCGCTCCTGAGGCAACTAGCTGATGAGATGCCCGCCAGCGTGGTGAAGTGCCTGCAGACCGCTGTCAACTACCTGTACTGCGCGAGGGAGGAGATGAAACCGCATCCGCCTTTATTGCTTGGTAAATAATTTTAAAATTAGGACTAGTATTTGTCAGATCCCAATTGTTTCAATAGATTTTTTTTAATGGGTAAAAATGAAATGGTAGGACTCAGGTGTTATTCCTCTGTACCTAGTGAATTCACGCCATATCCCACCCTTCAAACCGAAACACAGCCATGCAAACACAACTGCTTCACGGTTGAAACGCGAATGAGATAAAGGTACCCAAGCAATCGACTTTTGTACAAAGTCTCCCTCTGGTGTCGTAAGAGTAACTGAGGGAACTTAATAGTCGAGGAATGGACAGCAATGTCCCTCTCAGAACATTATCAAAACCTTACTGCTGCTGCCAACCCGCCTGCCAAGCGCGGCAATTATTGGCAAAGCCGTCCATAGCAGCAAGCCTATGTTTAAAGCGTGGAGGGATCGGCTCTAGGCTATCTCGCTACACTGCGTCGCCGATTTTTTAAATTACCACATTTCATTTACAGATTATGTATAAATGGGTTTATTACTTACATAAATTTAATGAAAACGACGCTGTAAATTCGAGTCATGCAACAGACACACTTGCATTAGCGCGCGGTACCACATTTTTGTTCGGTACAGCGTATGATGCATAAACGCTCGAGGGGTTAACAGTGGACAGTTTAGGGTTGATATGACGATTCAGTCAATACTTATCTGGTTCTAATAATTAACTCTGCAGTATTAAAAGTGACACACATGTATATATATATATATATATATATATATATATATATATATATATATATATATATATATATATATATATATATATATATATGTATGTATATATGTGCAGTAGTTCAACAGATTTGATTTGATTTTGCTCTCAGGAAAGTTTGTTTTGAACAAAAAAAAGTATTACAAAACAAAACACATTTTTTATAAAGTGTTCCTCAAGGGTCTATTCTTGGTCCACTAATTTTGTTTATATAAAAGATATTTATGGTTTAAACGCTTCTAACATTTTGGTCTATAGTTAAATTTTTTAGTTTTAAATAATTCTGTCTTAGGTTTATTAGATTACCTCCCATTTAAAATTTATTTTCAGGTATTCTCTACGCAGAACTGTACCGTATCAGAGAAAAGAACGTAGAGGACACCGAATTAGATGCGGAGATCACCCGCAGCGCTCGGACGAGGTTGCTCCAACTCATCAAGGATTCTAACCCGCTGGTGAGACAGAATTCCGCCATGGCTCTCGCCAACATCTGCTTGGTTTGCGCCACCGGATGACTGCAGAGCAAACGGCCCAATAGGATGATCTTGAAGGTGGATACTATGAGCGGTAAATATATACTGAGAGTCGATAACAGAGCTGTGAATGTACTGAGCAAATAATTGGCTACATTTTAATTTTAGGTACAATTTATCTTTTTGAAAATACTAATGAAAAATTTATATAAATTTCCTTTAAGGAACTTATATCCAAATTGTATATAGATGGACATTTGTGTAGAAATAAATTTAGCATTTGCACTGATTAATTAGCAAACGTGAATGATTTTTAAAGTAAAATCATGACCAAAATAATACGATTAAGTGTTTAGATCGTCATATGAAATTTATGAATAATCTCAGTAGAAAAGACAGTGCAAAATATATTGTTTCTGGTATGTCTATGGTTATTGGTTCTTTTTTTTTTATTTTAGTATTTTTATTTAGAAACATTACCATGTTAATTAGCACTGTGATTGTTTTTATGTGTTTCTTCATAAAATTATAATTACATGAGTATCATATATATTTTTGAATTGCAGTAACACTTTTATTACCAGTACTTTATTAGTAATACCAATGTTTAGAATAATTACTAACTGTTATATAGATGATATTATAATATATTAGAAACATGAATAATTTTTTTTTACATTTTTAAAACGAAATAGCTAGATTATATAAAGTATATCAATATTTTTCTTTTCTTATTTCGTTCTTATGAAATTGCACATATTTGCATTAACAATTCTTATATCCAGGGTTGCCAGATGATTTTTTTTTTTATTTTCTTCAAATCGAAACCATTTTTAGGACTTTTATCAGATTACAACCAATTTTCTACAAATTGAATGGTGAAAAAAAAGAAAAAATAACATCCTTATTAATTTCTACTTTTACCTTATTTTAACCTCTCCTCCTCTTATTCAGTACCTTCGATACCATTTTTACTACATTCATTCACTATATTTTATTGTATTTATATACCTTGATACATTTTAAACTGTCCAAAAAATTTGTCAATTTTTTCCAAGAATTTAATTTCTCCAAAATTCCACATACAGATTTTTTTTACCTAAAATTACGAAAACAATACTTAATCTGGCAACACTGTGTATATCTTTACTTGTATTTTAGTTTTCTTGTTATAGACATTGCTTGTAACATTTAAGACTCGAACTTAGTATTAAGACTGATGAAAATGTATTAAAATAAATTCAAATCCACATTCAAATACAACATTGAGTTACCCTATAGTTATTGATATTACTTATAAATTATAGAAATAAGTGGGCATTGTGTATTAAAAAAAGTGTCAATATTTAAACTAAAATGGCGAATCGCTTCACTCAAGTATAATAATAATAAATATATAATTAATATCTGCAACGTTTTCAAAAAAAAAAAAATTAAGGAAATAATGCTTACGATTTCACGTATGTTACATTATTTAATCGACAATAATATGCTTTCAATAGTTAAGGCTATATTTGAATTAAAACTTGGTAAAATATACCATTTATAGGAAGTTAGATATGCCATCATACCTACGCCATGGGACGTTTGATATTTATCTAAAGATATTGTAAAACGATTCTAACATAATTAAAAACTGTGCAATAAAAACTCTGATATAAAGTATTAATATTCCAAAGTATAAAAAAAAAAAAACAAATTAATCAAAATAACTTTAAAATTATTATTATATATAATTAACAAAATATATTAGTTGTGTTGTAAAGCATTAGAAGTTACAAGCTTACAAACATTTATATTTGGTGATATTTAGTTAGTTAAGAACTAAGTGTAAGGATTTATTTGTGCCTATGCGAACTGTTGTTGTGTCATTTAGTGTCACTTATCAAGTTTATTGAATTAAAAATTTAAATTAATATTTCCTTTCACTTATTATATACGAGGTGTAATGTAAGGAAGGGGTATTGCAAGCCGAAATCCTGCGATAGTATTGAAGAAACTGTTCGACTCTCAAACTTCACTTGGAGGGTTTGGGGGGAATTTTTTCAGTCGCACAATATATTGATTATATATATTGATATAGATTTAGATTGCCATAAGGAATGATTCTGAGCCACCTGCATCCACTGACTCTCTACAATGCATTTCACTCCAAGTAGTGAGGGGTCGTCCACTACGTTTATTATATATATATATATATTATAATAAGTTGTCTGAATGTACGAGGTTTGTCCGGAAAGTATATAAAAGTTTTTTATAAATTTTATTTTACAATTATTCAGGTAAATCAATTTTATCCCCTTCAAAGTACTCCCCCTGTGACATAATGCACTTGTGCCAACGCCGTTTCCACTGTGAGAAGGCTCCTTGAAAGTCCTCTGGTTGTAGGTTTCTCAGCTGCCCCGTCGTAGCTTTTTTTATCTCATTTATTTCCCCCAAATGCCGCCCCCGAAGTAACAATTTGGTTTTTGGGAAAAAGAAGAAGTCACACCGGGCCAAATCCGGTGAATATGGGGGGTGTTCGGTCACCGTAATGGAATTTTTCTCAAAAACTCACGGACAACAAGAGTTTAATAAATATTGTCGTGGTGAAGAATCCAACGCCCCTCTCGCGCCAATTATGGACGAACTCGTGCCACACGAGATTTGAGGAGTCTGAGCACATCGACGTAGAATTTTCCATCAACTGTCTGGCCTGGAGGGACGAATTCTTGATGGACAACGAACATCGAAAAAAACAATCAACTTGAACGCTTTCTCGGCCCTCTCTGAATCTTTTTAGCCACTTGTGGATCGGTTGGTTCCTTCACAGCATCATCCCCATAAACTGTTCTGAGATCGGCAGGCGCTATCTCTTGCCGAGTTTCGAGAGAAACTTGATTACGACGCGCTGCTCTTCAACGGAATGTATTTCGTTAAGAGGTATTCACAGATATTCATTCGCACCGCACGGTCAGACCAGAACAAAGCATTGTTAGGGACATAAGGAAGGGGTCCTGCGCTTACCTGGACTCCTCTTTCTCGCATTCCAGAACACTTATATACGAACTTTAGTCTCGTATATAAAATATTGATATATTTCATATACATTCAGACAACTGTTTTATTTACAATAAAGTCGTAACGGAGCATTGCATTCTAGATCCTCTGGAGTTACTTCCAGGTTCTCACGCGCACTTTCATATTTTTTAAATATAAAAACTAATTTTTGAACCATTCAAAAGTCGACCACGCGATCTCGTGTATTTTTAGAAAGATTTCTGGATGGAATACAGTTTAATAAATATTATCGCTGGATTTTGAATTATTATAAACGCTAGACTAGACGTTTAAGTCACATGTAATCTCTAAGTTGCGACCTGACAGGGAACATAACGAATGTGGCTGAAGTTGTTTCATCAAATTTTCTATAATGGAATCGATTCTGAGGTGCTGTTCTCTCGACCTATTTCTAAAATTAAAATTTATTTATTTATTCTTTATTGACGATTACAAAAAAAATAGTTTAGTACAAAAGGTGGACTTAATGCCATATATAGCATTCTCTCCCAGTTAACCTTTGGTATAACAGAAATTATACGGTAAAAAATTTTGGTATACCCAAATAAAATTTTGTGAAAATGGCACTTCAGGGTCAACTCCAATTCCTCTATTATTTTTCAGTTTATAAAACCGATTTTAATTATTTCATAATTATTAATTAAAAATACTTTAACACCGAACTAAAACATTAATCTATCAATAAAAAGTTTTAATTTTTTAGGAAACAATATTTTTCGTTAGTTCGTATCTTAGTTGACGCTTTTTGTATGTGAAATTGCTATGTATTTTCCTAAAATATTATTTATGATGTAAGGAGTGATAATTTTGAGTTTGAGTGGCCACTATTATCTTGATCCCTGCAGAGGTCGCCTTGTGTTTAATGTTATGTTTGACAATACAAGTTTCAAATTTTAATGTCGACTTTTTCTTTGTATCCTTCACTTTTCTTCATCTTCGGCTGTATCATTGTATTCTTGGCATCTATAAATATAGACATACGCGTTTTATTGATTTTATTTTAATTTAAAAAACCGTTAACTGTCCACTGCTGGACATATGCTGCCCCCAAAAGGAAGTGTTGTTAATAGTCGTTTGGCAGGTGGGTTGGCAACCGCAGTTTTTTTTTTAAGGGATGATAATGGAATGGTTGCCCCACCCGCGCTATCGGTATACACCGGCAGGGCACCAGTGAAGGATGATAGGTGAGGATGAAGTAGGTCAGTTAGCCCATCGTGACGAATTTAACAAGAATTGTTCACGATGGTTTCCAGGGGGAACCATGTGGAGGTCGACCTTATAAGGCATATTGCTAGCAATGGGGCTGTCAAACTCCATTGCTAACAATCCCTTTCCCCCCTGGCAACCGCAGTTAAGCTTAGGTGATGTTTCAAGATGAACACTATCGCTCATCCCTCGACATTTTAAATTCCCTTAGTCGCCTCTTACAATACCCACGGGACTGGAAAGGGTGGTCTATTCTATGCCGGAACCACACTGCATAGAATGGTCTTATATTTCTTGTACTTTGTAGTCAAATATTTATTAATAAGTATCACATACAACGCCGAAAAAATGAGAAAAGATAAGACAATGATGATGCAGTATCATAGAATTACACCATTCGTCTCATCCTCAACCTAGGATATCCTGTATAGTGCGGAACCAACAGGTCCTCCTCCTCGCCATCCTCAGGAATGGCAACGCATGGGAGAGTATCATGGGCGAAATAGTAGTCTGTTATGTCCATGGTACTGCTCATGTCTATAGGCGACGGTTACCACTTTCCATCACATGGGCCGCCGAAAAAAAAACGCTAAATTATATATTACTGCGCTGTTTTTGCCAGCCAAAACTCCTTGTTGGGGTCGCAGTGCGTCCTCAGCTGTCTGCTGTCCCAACCGACTGAATCCATCCGCCACTCGGGTGATACATACGGGGGCAATAATTTCTGTAGCACTATCTGATAAGAACGATAGAGAAATTTTATTAAAATAATGAAATTGTAACTATACTACGTCTGTACATGGGAGACATTTAAGAAAAAATAATATAGGGGTCTCAATAAGAGCATACATAGATTGACAAGATCTCAGTCGTGTTTTGGACGCCTGTCTAACCGCTAAAATGATTTCTTATTGACTGGTTTAGAATCTCACTATCGGTTATTTAGTAGTAAAAATGAATTGCGCGCGGTTTTAATATATCGTTCAGGTTGAAAAAAAACTACCAATAGGTAAAATACTTTAAAAAAAAACTACCAATACAATTTTTTTTATGCAACTTAAAATGGCAAACATCCTGATGGATCCTCCTGATGGAAAATGGTAACCGTCGCCTATATTTTAGACATGAACAGTACCATGAACAACAGAGTATACTGTTTTGCCTATGATACTCTCCATGCGTTGCTATTTCTGAGGACTAAGGTGTTATACCTCTGTACCCTGTAAATTCTTTGCCAAATCCCACCCTTCAAACCGAAACACAGCCATGCAAACACAAGTGCTTCACAGTAGAGACATTATTGGAAAAGAGGTACACAAGCAAATAACAAATTTTGTACAAAGTCTCCCTCTGGTAAGTCTATCAGCCAAGCCTTCTTACTGGCTATAATCAGATTTGAATCATAATAAAACATGTGTAATTATAGGGATTTTCTCATCAGTAGTATATGGTTCAATAAAAAGATTTATTTATTTAAATTCCATCAAAGTAAACAAATTTAAGCCTCCTTTACCCATCACCATTCCTAACAATCCCTTCTTGCCTTCTTTTAGTTAGTCATATCGGAATACGATCAACTTACAGGATTAGCTTTTGCAGGAAAGCCGGGCAACAGTGTCCGTACACTGCTGTAAGTAGCGTTGGCAACAACCCCGCGCATTGCCTTCATTGTACTGGTTGTGTACACGTCGTCCAGGAGTAGCTTGCGGGTTCTGAACCAACGAGGTTGTTTATAGGGTGATAACCCCTCCGGTACTATAGGTATACGATGACGGGATAGGCTAGTTTTCATTCTCATCGTGATGATCCGCCAGCGTATCCCATTAGCGCAGGCGGGGTTACCATACCATTTTCACCCAACAAAAAAAAAACCCCTCCGGTACTATCGGCATACGCTGACGGGATACTAATCAGTGATGATGGGTGAGGAACTCAGGTTAATTGGGCCATCGAAACGTATTTATCAGGAAATAACCACGGTAATTTTCAAAAGGACTGCGTCGCAATCAGATAGAGTATAGTAACAGGTCCATGACTAACAAACCCTTTCTACAGCCAACAAGGCTGCACAAAAACCTAAATAACATTAGCTGGTGACTATAATCTCATAGAGGATAGGCAGAGTCCTTTTTTAACATACTATTGATTGAATGATTTTATTAAAACGGAAGAATACCCTAACAGAGTATATCGTTTCGCTTATAATACTCCTTATGTGTTGCCATTCTTGAGGACTAGGGTGTTATGTGTTTGTACCCTGTTAATTCACTACTATAACCCACTCTTCAAACTGAAACACAGCCATGTAGAAACAACTGCTTGTGCCAAGAAACACGAATGGGTAGAGGTATCCAATCAAACAATATGCAGTCTTATGCAGTTTTCCTCTGGTTATTAAAGAGAAAAAAAAAAATATGTTTAGAGAGATTACAATTTTTCTATCTCATATAAGACTTACGCATCATCTAAGTCATCAAAGCTGACCGCGGGGGTCATAACCAGACGCGGTCTGGTCCTCTTTACTTCTTCCAAAACCGGGTCCGGAGGTTTCTCCTAAATTTAAAAATAAAACTTGTTTATATGCTTACATAGTAGTATGTAGCGTGAAAATTACTTTTTTTCTGGGTAGACAGAGAAAACCGATTTTTTTTTTAATTTTTGAACAGACTTGAAAAAGAAAGAAGTTCTAATTCGTTTGTATTTCTTTTTATGTTTGTTACTTCATAACTATCAATTTAAAAACGATTTGGAAAATTCTTTATTTAATCTGAAAGGATATACTTACAGATTGGTCCCATAGAAATTTTTAGATCAAAATACTGATTTTGGCACAATTGAAGATGTTGTTTTTGTAGAATATTTTTTTTTTTATTTATTTCGAATTAAGAACACCAACAGTACACATATTATATCATAAATCGAACAAAATTTTTTTGTGTAGCATACTGATATGCATACCTATAGCAGGCGTACACAACATTGACTACAGATTACATGCATATAAATGTCATAATACAATTAATATAATAAATTAAAATTATAATTATATATTTCTATCTTATTTAAATGTTTAAAGTACAACTTTACATGCAAAACCATTTATTTTTATTTAAAAACTAAACAACTGAACCGACATTGATTAAAAAGATTTTAGATTAAAAAGAATTTTCCAAATCGGTTTAGAACTAACGAAATACAACCAAGAATCACCTTCTTTTTGACGTCGGTTGTGTAAATATCTTATTAATTCAGGCATATTACGTCATTAGGTACTTACATACGACACTTGCACCTCTCTAGGATTGGTGCGAACAATGTCTTTCGGTTTAGTCATCAAACCGAATGGTACATTTGGTACTTTCCAATCCACCAAAGTATGTACATATTTCAAAGGTTTTGTTCTAATCGTAAGACAAGTTGGCTTCTTTTTATATTCAGTTTTCACTGCAGGCGTAATCTCACCATCTCTAAAATCTGTTCGACTAGTGGTCTCGTAATTAAAAAGCATAGATTCTATTTGTCTCATGTTGGACATTATGTATAGTTTTTTTTTAGTAATTAATAATATCGGATACAAAATAAAGTCTCAAAAATACATTTAACGAAATAAATTCGCGTACAAACACCTGCTTTTGTCACAAATGTGGCAAAAGCAACGTGTCAGAAATAACGAATTTGTGAGACAGATTTGATATTTCCGCCATGTTGATTTTATGTCAAAACAAGTAAAAAAATACAATGTTATATAGGTAGTATATTATTCTATATGTTTGTATGTTTATTCATCTTAAAATGTATTAATATTGTTATTTATCAAAACATTTATTTCATTTACAAATTGATTTTTCTAGATCAATTACTCTCTGTTTAGCGTAACGGTTGATTGGCAGAGAATGCTATCAGGCATATAGACATATTCTAATTTGTGCAAATAATAATACATAAATAATCAGGTCGACCTCCACGTGGTTCCCCCTGGAAACCATCGTGAGCAATTCTTGTTGAATTCGTCACGATGGGCTAACTGGCCTGCTTCATCCTCACTTATCATCTTTCACTGGTGCCCCGCCGGTGTATACCGATAGCGCGGGTGGGGTTACCATTCCATTATCACCCAAAAAAAAGAAACCTATTTAGGTTTTTTCCTTTGGGGATACGGAAACCTAAATACAAATAAGTATGTATCTACAAGTATTTCTACAACCGTCGCCCGTTATCACAGAATGGCACATCTGTGCTGTTATCAGGTAGCTAACTGGATTAAATAGAAATTAAATTGACAAGATTCCTGTCTGTTCACATTATAATCTAGTAATACCTAAAATTAAAATAGACTTTTTGCAAGCACTTTTAAATCGTCAATTTTTTTTAAATCTATTAAAAGCCTGCAGGAAACACAGTTACTCTTTTAATATCTCTCTCTCTCTCTTCGTCCTCTTCATTACTGAAGGTCGTGTCCTTGAAAGGTGTCCGTTGCCTCTCTTATGATGTTATTCCATTGTGCACGGTCTTCAGCCTCTCGCAGGGCAGCTGCAATTGACAGTCCCGTAACGGCGATTACTCGGTCCGACCATCGACTAGGCGATCGTCCGCGTGGCATATATATATATATATATATATATATATATATATTTCCTATAAATGATGACTATATTTAAAATATTACTGATATTAGATGGTCCATTTCAATTTGTCCCTACCATCGTTTCTATTTCATTCCATTCTTACATACCAATTGGAAAACCATTGGTGTATAAGAATGGATTTTTTTCCACCCGTACCTACTATTGTGCCATCAATACGGATATGTGGAATGAATGTGGCATTTTTTATTAAAACGGATAAATTTTTGATAAGAATAAGTACAGTCCTTGAGGGAAGGGATTGTTAACAATGCGGACTATCAGTCCCATTGCTAGCAATATACCCTATCAGGTCTAACTCCATGTCTCCCCTGGTAAACATCGTGCTGAATTTCAGGTGTATTCACCACGATGGACTAACTGATATGCCTTTTCATTCTCACCTATCATCTCTCACTGGTGCCCCGCCAGTGTATACCGTTAGCGCAGACGAGGTTACCATTCCATTATCATCCATTGAAAAAAAAAGAAAAAAATACAGTCTAGGCTCTAGTGTAATGAATTAATTACAGTATCTAATAATTATTATTATGAGATAGACGGTATTTTCTAACATTTAAATCAAATATATAATATAAATATACATATATTTCAATTAACTATTATTAGATAACAGCGCACGCTGTTACTACATTCAATATTAGTACATACCAGATTTAATATCTATATATAATATGTTTGCACTATGTACGAATGCGTCATCTCTTATCGTAGACTGCCTACGTAAAACAAACAAAGGATATAAAAGAGTGCGCAGACTTTACCAATCACTGGTCCGCAGTGAATTTACTGGGTACAGAGGAATAACACCTGAGTCCTCAGGAATGGCAACGCATAGGGGATATTATGGGCGAAACAGTATAACTCTGTTATGTCCATGGTACTGCTCATGTCTATAGGCGACGGTTACCACTTTCCATCAGGTGGTCCGTCAGCTTGTTTGCCATTCTAAGTTGTATAAAAAAAAGTCTTTTAAAATCTCCATACCGCAATAGTTATAGATAAAAATGTCATTTAGACAATACATAGTTTATTGCACTACGGTACTTATAAGTATAGTAAATTTATATGAGGCATCTTGGTAAGACCAATAGATGCCAAAACAATTAGAAATTTTGTCTGTTTGTTTGTTCCGGCATAAAGTAAAAACTACTACACCAAATTAGATGCGATTGTTAAAGTTATAATTCAAAAGGTCTAACTTAAAATCTGGTGTATATTTCATCTTGATACGTCATCTAGAGGCAGTCTATTTCCTACTCCCAAAATTCGGGGGGAAGGTATTGTTAGTAATGGTGACTAAAAGCTCCATTTGTTAGCAATATACCCAACCAGGTCGACCTCCCCGTGGTCCCCCCTGGAAACCATCATGCTGAATACCAAGTGTATTCGTCACGTTGGGCTAACTGACCTGCCTTTTTTTCATTTTCATCTATCATCTTTGATCTGTCTGAGATATCGGACCAAAGACAACTTACAGATATAAAATAGAAAAAAAAATGTTTATTTTTCTTATAATACAGGAGGCAAATAAGCAAGCAACTTACCTGACAGTAATTACCACCACTCATAAGCATCAATAACAAATTGCAGTGTACTGCTGACCTTTTAAAAAGGAATATATTTTTTCTTGAAGGTTATTTGATTAATGCAAGGTGATTATATCTTTTTGGATTAATAAAAGATAATGTAAAAACCCGCGACGTAACAAAGATTTACAAACGCTGATTAGTATTATTACAAAGGACACACATTATGAATGTGTAACGAGACATAACATAAAATTATTAATATATTTATTTATTTATTCATTAGTACATATATGTGTACATAGCGGACTTAATGATAAAAGCATTCCCTCCCAGTCAACCATAGGGAAGTGTCAGAATACTCGAATGCGGTACTACTAATTATTGATATACATGTATAAACGAATAAACATGTATAAATAACAAATATACTTACACATATATGACATATACTATATTATACACGAAATTAAGAACAATATAAAGTACTTAGTGCTCGGATATATATATATATATCGAAAAAGGTAGAGAAAAAAGTGGTAGATTGTAATAAAAAAAATATGTTTTTTATTTTTATATAATTTTGCGACATTTAGATTCATAAAAACTGTTGTGAAATGAAACTTTGAACCAGAACAATGCAAATGTGCCATATAATATACTACAATTATATTGTAACTAGTGACCCGCCCCGGCTTCGCACGGGTGCAATGCTGATACTAAATATACCTACCTACTACAGTATGTCCTTGTAAACAATGTTTACATCTTTTTTGTCATTAGACAATACAAATATGATAAAGTACTATAAGGCGAAGTGCGGCCTTTGACGCGCTATTATATAGGCATGCGCCGCCGGCCGGGTCGGTATCGTCGCACCGCTATGTCCCTACATTTTAAATCTGTAATATCTTCGAAAATATTCATTTAAATTACATGCTGTAAAGGATCATATTGATCTATATTAAATAGACAATGTATTTAGGATACTTAAATGGATAAAAATTAATGCTGTATTGCTTAAAGTCACTTCGTAAATAAGCCATTTTTCCCGTAAAATGTAAAGGATAAAAAGTGGTTATTGTGGGTTATCCTTAAGAGATATACATATACCATTGCGGTCTATTTTGTTGACTTTTTTCGGTGTACAATACTGTAGTACATTATTTAGATTTATCTCGTGGGTTCAGCCAGCATTTGCAATGTAAGCGCAAAAAATGTGTTTAATTACGACATCGCATTAGAAACCTCTAAATTTATCAGTGTTTCTCTACAATATTATGCATGTATTATATATATAAACCTTCCTTTTGAATCGCTCTATCTGTTAAAAAAACTGCTTCAAAATCCGTTGCGTAGTTTTAAACATTTAAGCATACATAGGGACGGACGGACAGCGACAGCGACTTTGTTTTATACTATGTAGTGATTAACCAGACAAAAGAAAAAAATCTGAAATTACTGAACTTTGTAATCAAAATTTAGGTAGTTTTCCTTTTTTACTTTATTTATATAATTTCCATCAGGCGGGCCGTCAGATTGTTTGCTGTTCTAAGTTGCATAAAAAAAAAGAAGCATATTACTATATCAGTTTTTAACTGTCCAATGCTGAACATAGGCTACCCTTAGAAGGGAGATTTTTCCAGTAGTTGCCACGCTTGGCTGGCAGATTGGCAACCTAAGTCATGCTTTGGTGATGTTTTAATAGGGACACTGCTGCCCATCCCTCGAACATTTAGTTCCCTTAGTTGCCTCTTACGACAGCCACAGGAAAGGGGAAAACAATGTTAGTAGTAAATATTTGATAATGTTTTTTTGTAGATTAAATATAATTTTTAATATTTAAAAGACAATAAATGTGTAGATACAATTTTAATAATTTCGGAAAATACATAAATACTATTATGACTAATTCCGATCACCGCCGTTGGTAACTTTAAAATTAAATTTATACATTAAAAAAAAAACAACAACAAAATAACAAAATATAATTAATTATGTACAATTTTTAAAATAATTACAATAAATTTTGATAAAGGACGCAAGTGAAGTCAATATGACCGCATCAAATTATATTTTAACATACATATATAATAAATTCCTATAAAGGACGCAAGTCAACGTGATCTATATTTACAATGATTTATCTGCTAATTTTACACATATAAAATAAAACAAAATATACATGAATAATTATACATTTGCAGAGATCCAACACTTATCAAATCAATGTCATAAAATGAATATATTAATTTTACAATAATTTAATTTCGTAATTTTATTAGAAACCATTAGTTCTTTGTTTAAACTAAAATCATACATTTTATATAATTTACACTAACCACCTATGGCCTTACTGAGAGACATTTTGCCGTTTGTACGAGGCAAAATTTCCCTTTATATTTGCCGATGCAAGAAAGTCCAAATTTTAATGTCGAATTTAAATGCCAAGAGTTTTATAGACAATCAGATTTTATAGACAGAGTTTTATAGCAGGTGTTCATAGGCTACGGTAACCACTTACCATCAGGTGGGCCGTATGCTTGTTTGCCACCTCAATGGTATAAAAAAAAATATATAGATCCATCAGTATTCTACGACTATGACGATATGAATATATTAAATATTACTTTTTAAATTTCCTCAATTCAATAATGCACCGCCTACTGTGCATTAAAGTTTAAATAAAATAAAATAAAAATAAATTAGCCTGATCCTTAAACTAAGATATCCTGTATAATGAGGAACCAGGTTACAAAAATCTGGGGCAAAGCCCAGAACTCCAGACCGAAGCCAATTCAGAGAAGTTCGTCTCCTAAATCTGCCCGATCGATAATCGAACTCGGGACCTCATTCACGCAAAGCCACGTGCCCACCACTGCACTACGAAGGTTTCTTTTTTTTTATACAACTTAGAATGGCAAACAAGCTGACGGTCCAACTGATGGAAAGTGGTAACCGTCGCCTATAGACATGAGCAGTGCCATGGACATAACAGAGTATACTGTTTCGCCCATGATACCCCCTATGCGTTGTCATTCCTGAGGACTCATTCATTCATTCTATTATGGGCATTTAAATAACATAGTTATTTTCTGCGTATTTAGTTTCTAATTTTACTCCAACCATAATAAAATAGGTATTTCTAAACTTACAACATACTTGCAATGTACACAACATTACATGTGTTCTGCAAGTACTCGGCTTATACAAAGGGAATTTTTGTCCACGACAAAATGTTGATACTCGAAGTAAGGCTTAGTTGATAAAATGATAAAGGCCAATAACCTAATGGAATATACATCGTCTCTTTCTTAAAAGCTAATCCTTTTATTCATAAAAAATAAAAACTGCAAATCTACTTTATCCATTACAATGTTTTGTCACTTTCTTTCAAATTGACATTTTGGTATAAAAGAAAGAGACAAAACGGGTCAACAGCTAAAGTAGATTTAAAAGAGATTTGATGTTTTTATGAAAAATAAGTGGTACATTGTTAAATTCAAAGAAAGTGACAAACCATAATTAATATTTATTTATTTATTGGAGGTATAACGTATTTATAATATGCAAAAAAAATTAACAATTTAGTTAAGGTACTGTTTCACTAATCAACAGAGTACTTAGTGCGAGTTTAACATAGATTAACGTTTACGGAAGTAATTTGTATTTAAAACTGCACCTCTACCAGATGATTTAGAATCATCATTTTAGCTGTTGAACTACTGTTGAAAATAAGTCTCCCACATAAGACTCCTTTTTTTTTTTTTTTTTTTTTTTTTTTTTTTTTTTTGATGGGTGAAAATGGTATGGTAACCCCGCCCTGCGCTAACGGAATACGCTGGCTGAGCACCAGTGAAGGGTGATAGATGAGAATGAAAACAGGCCAGTTAGCTCATCATGATGAATTCATCAGGAATTAACCATGATAGTTTCCAGGGGGAACCGCGAGGAGGTCGACCTGGTTGGGTATATTGCTAGCAATAGAATTCTCAGTCTCCATTACTAACAATCCCTTTCCCCCTTATAAGACTCCTTTATAACTGACCTGCTTTTATCATCACCTGTCAACTGTGATTGGTGCCTCGCCAACGTGTACCGATGGCGCAAACGGGGCGGGGCTAGCAATCCATTTTCATCCATTAAAAAAAAACTAAATCTTTGCACAACTCGCACTAAACACACTGATTTATTTGCCGTGACCCAAGTTTAGTTATTTTTATTTATCCCTGACCCCCGCGTGGGTCATGATTCTTTGTAAATTTAATACAATATGCAATGTGCAGTGTGCCTAACAGGCTATCCTCTTGACAGCGAGGCCGCCCGGTAAAGCTTGCTATGCATTTATAATGCATAATAATAAAGAACATTATTAGCTTACATCCGGCGTCACCTAACGGTCTCTACCATCCAATCGCATTAGTGGAAATGCATCTGTAATTTAAATAGTAAATGGGCGCGTACAAGGGGCTTTTTCAAGAACATCGATTTAAATTCATTATAAAAATTCAGTACAACAATTAGGTTTATTTGTTTTTTAGAAGTAGAAAATTTGGCTGCTTTTATGTTATCAGCGGGGAAGATAAGTTACTTGAATAAAAAATATAATTTATTATATAAAAAAAAAAAAGAATTTCAAAAAATAAGTCTTCCATAAATTGAAACTATTTAATGGATTCACAATATTGGATTTAATGTTATTTCAATATTAATAAATTGAATTAGTGAGGGAATATTTAATATTACATACTATTTACATAAATTATATTAACGTACTATCGTACAATAACACTAATAATAGGTACGGTTGTGATACATTCTATAATTGCTAAAATAACTGTAGATATCCTCCATAAAATAGTTCCATTTGATAAATAAGAATTCTAATAAAAAAAATATTTAAGTAACTTACATTTTCTTAGATCTTTTTTACTTATAATGCCTACAATAAATAAATGTGTTACATTCATATCACAAATACTAAACGAAAGATACAACAATTAAGACACACGACGGAATAAATTGTGACTATGTCCGAAAAGGGCGGCAAATTTACAAATCAAAGATGGCCGCCTAACCTCAATTAAAAAAGAATAATTGCAAAAACACCAACACAAGGCATTGAATCAGCATAGCTGACTGTATATAATAAGCTAAATTATTTATACCATGATCCGATGACGTCATTCGTCAATCTGGGACGTTTAGTTCGGCCCAAATTGGACAAAATGGCGACGCTGGGCCGCCCCACGACCAGTCACGTGGTATCGCCAAATGGCAGAGTCCAGACTTGATGGCTCCTGAATATCCATTGAAACTGGATTTGTCTATGGGCCCTGGACATAATATGGAACTTTGGCTTGTATTTTTCGAGTTGACGCTCGTTTTAACATCCTCGTTCAGTAGCGATTCATACGTGGGTAGAGCTGAAAATAAAAAAAAAATGTTTAATTATACTTTTAAATATTGTCAATTTTCAGTCAGAGAGATACGTAGATAGTAATACTTATATAAATACTTACATACAATACATATAATTTACATACAATATATTTACTTTAAATTTGAAATCTTTAAGATTGTAAAGAAATCATTATATGTTTAATAGTTTGCCCCTTAAAGGAGTGAGTAACAGCTGAATTTTTTGCCTCACTCCTCTCAGACGAAACTGCTGTCTAATTGAAGCAAAATCATAAATATGACTATTTATTAATGCTTAAAACAAAATTGATTTTGGGTTAAAAATAATTTTGCTGAACTAGGTGTTATTTGGCGGAAATGCAAAATCACTCGTTAGTTGATTAGATTTATTTTGTTTAATTCTGCTAGCATTGGTATACATAATGTGATTACCAACACTTGAAGATAATTACTATTATCATAACTAGTGTATGGCAGTCTATGGGGAAGTTTATGTCCAGCAGTGCACGAATAATTGCTGAAACGATGATCACAACCCAAAGTTCTATATTAGCAATCTCCAACCACAATTCAGTCCACGCACGTTTTGCAACACGTGATTCCCTTCGAGACATCTTTAGGTAAATTAATTTAAATTTATTACCTGAAGATGCCCCGTTTAGAATTAAATAAAATCATTTTAATCAACTAATAAGTAAAAATATTTTCTATTTTCTACCATAGAGATTATCTTTATATCCACACAGATGGCAAACGACGTAGCAACCACTTATGAGAACGGAGATAAGATTAATTAACGATTTAATAGCTCTGTAATAAGCACTATCTATGTGTAATTGTACATGTTATCAGACGAAACGTGACATTCTAAAGAAATTTTATTGATATTTCTACATTTATTTGAAACCGTGTATGTGAATAACGTATCTTAGAATCCTTCAATTTTTTTTTTATGCAACTTAGAATGACAAACAAGCTGACGGCCTACTTGATGGAAAGTGGTAACCGTCGCCTATAGACATGAGCAGTACCATGGACATAACAGAGCGTACTTTTTCGCCAATAATACCCCCCATGCGTTGCCATTACTAAGGACTAAGGTGTTATTCCTTTGTACCTTGTAAATTCACTGCTATATCCCACACTTCAAACCGAAACAGCCATGCAAACACAACTGCTTCACGGTAGAAACACGAATGGAACAGAGATGCCCAAGCAAACGACTTTTGTACAAAGTCTTCCTCTGGTAAATAAGCTTAATATAAATAATAAAATTGTAACTAGACAAAGTTCATACATGGGAGTTATTTAAGAAAAATTAATATAAAGGGTCTTAACAAGACCAATAAATACCGAATCAATATTTTTTTTAGAAATTTTGTCAGTCTGTACGTTTGTTCCGGCATCATGCAAAAATAAGTGCACAAAATAGAATGAAGATTTCACAGTTGCATTTCTTAAAATCTAGTGTATGTTTTATCTTGATATGTACTTTACAAGTGGTCTAATTCATCGATTTTGATAAGGTATTTGAAACGGCTGATTATGTTTTCTTGGCTTGCATACCATTTTCAATACATGATCAAACTATACACAAAAAATTAATTGACAAATTATATTGATTAAATTTTTTTTTTTCAAGATAAGCCATCGCGCAATTATTTTTTTTAATTAATTCTATAAATACAAACTGTAGTTACTTGAATTTCTCATTTGCATTGTATTTTATTATAAAATGACATTGCATTTTGAACCTTATTGGTTAATCGATACCTAAAGATTATTATTATTGCTTCAGAACAAAGGCTCACACACACACACACACACACACACACGTGTTTATGAAGTTAACTACACGACCTAGTTAAATTCATTAATGATACTTCAAAGTATAATTCACGTTGATTGCTTTCAATTTTAATTATTTACATCGGTTTTCATAGCACATACCTATGTTTCCTTCGTAAGGTCAACTCAGCTGTATGATAAAAGGTAACCAGGTGTCGATTTCAATTGATGGTATCGATTCGATGTGACAGTTTTATGCACTTTATGTATCAATATTAGACCTTAATTTAAATGCAATAGAGCCTAATTGATTTAGTTTTAGCGCTTTTAGCACCAAAGGGAGACTTTGCACAAAAGTCGATTGCAATCCCATTCGTGAGCCGTGAAAGTTGTGTTTGATTTAGGGTGGGATATGGCGTGAATTTACTTTACGGAGGAATAAACTTGATCCTCAGGAAAAATGACATCGAAACAGTATACTCTGTTATGTCCATGCTACTGCTCATGTCTATAGGCGACGGTTAACACTTTCCATCAGGTGGGCCGTCAGCTTGTTTGCCATTCTAAGTTGTATAAAAAAATGTTTATCGTTTAATTTAAATGACATCGAAGTGAAAGTAAGTCTTATTTATTAGATAGGCGATTACAAAACTAATTAAAAAAAAAAACCTATTACAAGAGTATGGAATGTAAATAAATCAATTTAGAATTGGCGACAAAATCGTATAACATAGTCAAAAATAACTAAAGAATTTGTTTAAAAAAAAAGTTGTTTTACAAAAAAGACGCAATTAGTCGGTCAAGTGTAAGTCGACCTCGCGCTACGAGGATTCCGTACGAAATCAAGTTTTTTTTTTTGTGAATTAAGTACAAATTTACGGTTTTCAAATGTTTTCCTTTACTTGTGCTACATGTCATTGTTTGTTGCCAAATTTCATTATTCTAAGTCAACAGGAAATATCCTATAGGTTTTGATTCCCTTTGCGAATGACAAAATATGCGATATAAATGGAACATAAACGGCCGTATCTTTTGATTGCGTCGATTTAGAAGCTTGATTTTTTCACTGCTTTAAGAGATTGTAGACCTAAATATATGATATTAATTTCAACTTGATATCTCCACGGGTTCCTAAGAAAAAGGGTCTTGACTGACGGACGGACGGATGAGCGAACAACGAAATGATCCTATAAAGATTCCGTTTTTTCCTTTAACGAAACCCTAAAAAATACAACCGTATTGAGAACTTGATCCTTTTTAAGTACGTTGAAGGTATATGTAAATATAAGTAGATGAATTTGAACCTTATTACATTATAATAGAGCTAAATTGATCTAGAAATTCGTAAATTCCTAAATTGATCGGGCGCTAATATTTCTGTAGCTAAATTAACAAATATTTTTTTTCAACTAATCTATAAGCATTTTTGAATAGTCATCAAGAATCTATCATCTAATTCGGAATTCAGTTTTAGCTAAGAAGAACGGGCAAGAAATTCCACCGGTGCTTCAGTCAATAAATTTAGTACTTACATTGAACGTTGTCCCAGGAACAGAATTCCCCGACCAGTGCAAGCTGTACCCCGGAATTCAGCGCCAACTCAGCCACCCGTTGTAGAGCGATGCACTCTTCATCGTTCAAACGCTCCGTACAGAGCATGTTCATCAGAACTACCGGCCTCTCGCAGATTAAGAATACTGAAACAATAGTTCTGCAATTAGCATGGAGTTTTTTTTATACTACAAAAGTAACAAACAAGACAGATAAGATAGATACTCTTTATTGTTTTCTCCAAAAGATTACAATAGTAAACTTATTATAGATACAAACAATTACAAGAAATGATCACAGTGAAAAAACAATGGGCGACCTTATCGCTAAAAGCGATCTCTTCTGAAGCTTCTCCCATTGGAGGGTTTTGCCAGTAGTTGCAAAGTTTAGCAGGCGGATTGGCAACCGCAATTAGACTTTAAAGATGTTTTAAGAGGAACACTGCTTCCCATTTCTCGCCCTCCTTTGTCGCTTTTTACGATACCCACGGGAAAGTATGGGGTGGCCTATTCTATGCTGGGACCACACGGACGACAAACATAGACGGAAAAAACTTCCAAAAATTATAGTATCGGCATCTGTCGATTTTAAATTTCTAATAATTATTGTTTTGGCGTTTATTGCTTTTGTTAAAACCCCTTATATTATTTTTCCTTAATATCTGCCATGTACAAACACCATCTAGTTAAAATTTGATTATATTAGTAAGACAGTAAGATTAGGAACAACTTTTCCTAAATACCGTTGAATAGTCAGTAAGATTGATCGCATGACAATGTCAAAGTAAAACAAAAAAAAGGCATTATAATAATTAAAACACGTGATAAAACGTCAGGTGGCTATAAAACAATTATTGTTATCTAGTCCCCATAACAATGCCGCGTGATGTCCTTGGCATTGCATGCAGTTTACAACTGATGCGGATTATAGATGAAACATCAACACGATCGTTATTTTTTACGCCACAATTACATTTTTTATGGATGATAATGGAATGGTAACCCCACTTGCGCCATCGGTATACACTAGTGGGGCACCAGTGAGAGATGATAGATGAGAATGAAGCAGGTTAGTTCGTCCATCGTGATGAATCTAACATTAAATTACGATGGTTTCCAGAGGGAACCACGAGATCGACCTGTCAGGGTATATTGCTAGCAATGGGACTACTAATCCTCATTACTAACAATCCCTTCTCCCCCCACCCCCAGTTACAGTATCACCACAGATAATTACTATCGTAAAATTTTTGTAGACTAGTAAACAAGTACACCTGAAAACAAAGTTTCGAAACCGATAGCGTGTATAAATAATAAAAACGGTTCTATAAAGACAGCGGGTCAATAAAGGCAATTGCCGTACGGTATGGAATGAGCAACTCTTTCCTTTCCCGTGGGTGTCGTAAGAAATGACTAAGGGAATTCAATGATCGAGGGATGGGCAGCAAGCGTCCTTGTTAAAACATTACCAAAGCCTAACTACGCTACTGGCGGGGGGAAAGGGATTGTTAGTAATGGAGACTGAGAATCCCATTGCTAGCAATATGCCCAACCAGGTCGACCTCCCACGGTTCTCCCTGGAAACTATCATGGTTAATTCCTGATGAATTCATCATGATGGGCCTGTTTTTATTCTCATCTATCACCCTTCACTGGTGCTCCGCCAGCGTATCCTGTTAGCGCAGGCGGGGTTGCCATACCATTTCCATCCATCAAAAAAAAAAAAACTACACTACTGGCAAAACCCCTCAATAGGGGGAGGCCAATATTCAACAGCGGACAGTTAACGGCTGATATGATGATGATGATTTTATCGTTACCTATTTTTAAAGTCGTTTAATTTGATGCCCATTTTGTAGCGGCGTCATATTGTATTGTTACAAGAACTAAAGGTGGATATAAAATTTCTTTAAAATAGATTACGAACAATTGGTTCTAGTTCACCTCTTAGAAGATGTGACCTAAAAAAATGTACTAACTAGTTTTGTAGTCCAATAGTCACTATCCCGTTTCAAAACATCGGAATCATGAGTTTTATTCTTGCCGACGCTAAATATCTAGTGATAGAAAAATACCATATTTTCTATAACAGAGACAAAACAAAGACGAGAGTGGATAGTGACCTTCGTGTCTAGAGTTCTAATGTAGTATAATGAAATATAGTCAAATCTCTCTGGTCACCCAATCTCTAATCTTAAACGCATTTTTAAAATTTTGGGGAGCAAAATCATAGCGAAGAAAAATTTTATAAGTCTTGTCGGGGCAACCAATTCATGCATTCTGTTCCAGCCAGCTCTATTTCAGTCCATATCTTTGACCTCCCTATACGACATGACGTAACACCTAGTGTTTCCTTTATTTTTACCACGTAATTATTTTTCGGTCTTTTCCTTCCTCTTTCGCCCATTACTTTTCATTTTAGTGTGCTCTTTAAAAAATCGTCAAGTAATATATGGTAGCCCAGCATTTTGCCTATTTTCTCTATTGTTTTTATATTAATTATAGAGATATGTAAATAATGTTTTATGTAAAGATGCGATTTCATAATAGCACAACATGTAAGTATGTACTATGTAAGTATGGTGTACACCATCCGTAGCTAACACAGGGATAAAAAGTTTCATGAATGAGATTAACCGAAAAGAGAGAGTCAATGGTTGGCCCCATATTATTATTGGCCAAACAATTTGTCGACTCACTAAGTCCTTTCACACTACGTTTGAAGGATCCGAGGGGAATAACATTGTACAAACAGGAAGGGATTCAACTACACGCGGAACAATGTAACCGAGTTCCGATTCAGATGTTTTTTTAACTGTAGCGGAACTGCAACCTCGGCCTTTAATGCAAACCGCGCTCAACTCCCAAATAAGGCGCTGCAGCTAAGGGCCGGCGCAGTTAAAACTGTCCAGTGTGATGGCAATGCTTACTAATATTGTGTGAAAGTGAGTTTGCTCGCTTGTTACCTCTTGGCACTTTAATAACTCAACTAACTCTAAGATTTGGTAAGCATGTAGTATTTTGGATGGAGAGGGACATTTCGGATAAAAAAATATATGTCCTGGCTCTTGGACATGTGGACGAAATAGTGGCTAAAAACTAGTATATTATAACGTAGTAGATTCATGAAATAGAATAGAACAGCAAGTATTAAACTCCGTATTATACGACAGGAGAACAGAAAGAATAGAAATTAAAGGGCATAAAGAAATCAGGGTATTTGTTACCATAAATATACGTACTATTAATATTAAACTGCACGACATTAAAAGAAAGAAGTAAAATCAAGAAAATGAAAAACTGAGCACAGAAGACCTTGATAAGTGGCCCATCTAGGTCAATGACCGATTTAACAATAATTATCTCAAGTTATGAAATTTGAATATGTATATCGTACTGATAACGAACAGGTGTATGTACACTTGTAATATTTTTTTTTATATCGAAAACTAAAAAGAATAATAATAAAAAAATGAAGGGTTCAATGACGCCTGCACAAGAATATAAGAGACTGTTATACAGAGTACTGGCCACATATATTATTTATAGTTTTTATATTATTATTTACCAAATTCGACATTGACACGCATCTCTATTGTTTCCTTTTGGCTTCCCTTCACGGCCCTAGTCTTCTAAGTTCCTTTCGCCAATATATATATATTACCAATTTCCATTCCTGGTTTCCTTTGTCGCTCACAGTTAGCATCAATTAAAAGGAGTGTTTTGTTGGGTTATTTATTTATTTTTATTTATTTATTTAACACTTTATTGCACCAACATAACAGGATTTGTTGAACAATTTTTATACGTATAGTGTAGTACAAAAGGCGGTCTTATTGCTAAGCAATCTCTTCCAGACAACCTTTGGGTAGAAGGAATTAAAGCATAAATAGGTAGGTGGCACGCTAAAATAAAATAGATCTGTAAAAAATAAAATCTGTGACAGCATAGTCATATACACATACATAAATAAACAAATACATCCAAATATATACATACACATATACATACATATATACGCATAAATACATACAAATATGGGAGAGTTAATATTTTTGTCATATTTGAATTTATGTTTCACGAAATTTCTATCCTAATTAATATACGAGTAATCCATCGCATGGGTGAATTCTTAGTTTAACGTATCGCTAACGACTTCGATTTTACCTTGTATATTTGAGTAGTGTGCCGATATCGATAAATATTACAATGGTACGCTACGCTTGTTTTACCGATAGGTTTATTGTTTGCACCGATAAGTTCTAGACTTCATTAAAATTATATTTATGCATGAGTTTACTTATATCGGAGTATATCCGAGTATATCCCATCATTATTATATAAACTGTGGTCGAGGGATCAGCAGCAGCGTCCCTTGTAAAACATCATCAAAGTTTGCCAATCCGCCCATTAAGCGTGGCAACTACTGGAAAACCCCCCTTATTGAGGGAGGCCTCATTGCTGACTGACTGAATCTGATTATATTCAGCAATGGAGGCTGATATCATAATGAAAAAATTAAAATAGTTTGCTACAAATACCCTAACGATATCCCGCGGTTTAAGATATCTTTTTTTTAGTATGGTAAGAAAAATGGACCCGGTAGACAGCAATGTTGTGTATATAGGTACATATAGGTGCCAGCTATAGGATTTAAAAAAAAAAACAATAAACAGATTCGGTCAACATGTGAAATTGTGTATTTTATTTAACCAATTATTTCTATAAAAACTATTAATATAACAAGCAGAATGTTTGTCGGGTCAGTATGAATATAAATGGATCTAGTAATCGTTGCTTGCGCATGCGCATAACATACATTATACCTAATGTTGAACAGTCAGTTTCCTGTTTCAGAGTTATATTTTCAACGACCAATTTTGTATTGTTCGCTGGGAAACTTACCCACCATTGTGTGTATGTATTGAATGACATATTTTTTTAACATTACAGGAGATTAGTCTGCTTTTGAGATATCTTCAACAATCGATAAAGGCCATTTAGATTAAGGTTAGGTTATTATACCATATTAAGGTTTTTTTTTTTGTGTAGTCTCGGCATAGAATGAACCACCCTTTCCTTTCCCGTGGGTGTCGTAAGAGGCGACTTAGGGAACTTAGTGGTCGAGGGATGGCCAGCAGTTTCTC